TTGTGCTATGCCATATACTTTTCCTTCATCCATCTTATCAAACCAAAATATTCATATCCTTTTTGGAGAAGCTAAAGTTTTTATTACTCACTAGCTGTACAAATTGGCTTTTATTTCAGGCATCAATTATGTCTAAACATCTTGCCAAGTCTGAGAGGCCAAGGTATTCATATATTTCTTCGTACATCTTAATGTAGTTTGGACTTAAATTGATGTACCACCAACACACTTTTGCAGGAGTCTCAATGGCCCTTTTGATTCTGGCAGAGAATCCCTCATTTCATCCCCCACTGAGGTATCATTCAGATTCTTGTCAACCAAACAAAATTTTCGTGGTTCTTTCTTCAAATTTAAATCGCAACTAGTATTTGATTTTATTGTGTGCATATATATTTTTTAAGAAAACGGGGTACCATTTCATTTATCAAATGAGCTGTTCATGCAAAAGATCAAAAGAGTTTCAATAGATGCCTTCATTTGGTACTAATAGATAAGAGATTATAGTTATAAAAAAACACTTGTATAGGGTTCCAAGAAGTATAGAAAACTGATCTCCCACAAAATCTTAAATCATATATCATCCCATTTGATAATTCTATTAGTTCTCTCTTAACATATATTTTATGGTAATACTTTACCATTGCCTTGTTTCTAAAAGTATGTTTGTTAGTTACAAACATTAACAAATCTACCATTCGCCCTTGCCATTTCCCATACAAAAATGGAAAACAAGTTTTGGGAAGTCTTGTGGCAAAGCTGCACGATAGAAAAAGGTGTAAAATGAACCCTACCTTGGGGCTTTTATTGTGAGTGCGTATAAATATTTTTGTTGGACCTTGACTTTTTATTTTTCCACTTCTACCGTTCTACAACCTAGAACCTTCTTCCCAATCCTAAGTCACGGCTTTCACAAAGTGAGAGCATTTATCCACATAATCTTCGAACCCATACATATCATTGATAGCCTCAGCAGCCAGTCTTAAAGGGAATGTGTTACCCTGGACTGAAAGCCTCAGCAGCCAGTCTTAAAGGGAATGTGTTACCCTGGACTGAAAGCCTCTTGACCCCTCATCTTCCATATTTGCATTAAATTCTATGACTATACATCGTGCATTGGCGCCATCTTCAGTTTTTAGTGATATTTGAGATATAGGGCCTGTTTGGAAGGACTTTTTAAGTGCTTAAAAAAGTGTTTTAAGTGGAGAGAAAAAGATTAGTGCAGTTAGAAAGTCATTCTAAACAAGCACGTAGTTTGGTAAGCCGAAGTTCGGTTCATGTGTCAGCACTAATCCTCTCTCCAAGCTGCATGATTCATTTTCAATGGATTTATTCATTCCGTTTCTTGACTTAATCGGTGATAGAAGTGTGGGATAGAGGTGGCAACTTAGCCTACTTCATTTCTAAGAGAGAATGTTTAAAGATTTATTGCAAGAAATTATGTTTGGTGTATGATGGTTGAAGAAGAATGTGAGAGATCCTTTTGATTTGCCTCAAAGAGGGGAAAAAAAAAAAAAGTTGTGGCCTTGATTTCTGTGGGTAGGAGGAATCAAGTGGACGAGAGTTGATTTTGGGGCTCAAGATGGAGTAGAGAGAACGAGTTCAATATCTACCTAAATTTTAATATCTTGTCAGTTTTTTTTGGCAACCAATTGTGGTAAACATCATACCGTTCCCATGAGATTAATTGAGATGATAGATGATTTAGCTACAGCGACAAGTTACGTGTCTATGCATAGTCAGCAAATGTGCTTTGTGAATGAACTGAAATTATTTCGATATCAATAGCGTCGTATAGTTATCACAAGATGTGGGAATGCCTGTTACCTGATGAGATTCAAATTCCCCGAACATAGTTGATGCCATAGTTCTCATTGTTTCAACCGTTTACTAGTACGTACATCTTATAGTCGATGTCTTCTCCGCACTCGTCTGTATTTCTATTGGCCCTTTAAACCTCTCACATTTTTTAACCTTCGCTTTTGCTTCCATAACTGGTCTCTTTCTTTCTGGTCACACATGCAGGGAGTAGGAAACAAACAAGCTCAGCGGCTATAGAGTATTTGTAGAGTTGAGTGGCCGCAGGGACAAGCAAACGAGTAAGAGCTGTCTTACTGAATAACAATTCTTAACCTCTTCTACTTGTTTCATTGATACACTCAGTAAAGTCATATATAGCTCTAACCTTAATTACTAGTGTAATTAGTATGTAGCTTCCCCCTTTTAAATTATTAATGCTCCCGACTTCCTCACGATTTTCATCTAAATTATTTTTTGTTTTTGCTTCATCCATTTCCTAAATTTTATAGGACAAACCATAGAAGTGAGCCTTTTAGAACAGCCTTGTTACTTGTATAGGATGCTTAGAAATGGGGATGAACAACTAACATAACCATGGGTGCTTAGAGCATTAGATTAGCTGCCAATAATACTTGGCATTTGAGCCCCAATCGAGGGCTCGGTTTCTCGGTTTCTCGGTTTATTGTCCCGTTCTCTGATTTGAGTTTATTTTGTTCCATTGTTTAAGTTTGGTTTGATGATCATTTGATTTTTTATTTTTAAAATTTGTGTTTTTTTTTTTCACCTATCTCTTTACATTGGTTTTCATCTTTATGAAAAAAAAATATTTGAATTTCAAATTCTAAACTATTTTTTAAAATTTCAGAACTTTGTTTGAATTTTAAAACACTTGAAAATAAATAATAAAACAAAGAAATTCGCTTATAAGCTTAATTTTTAAAAATGGGTTTGTTTTTTGTTTTTTGTTTTATGTTTTTTATTTTTTATTTTTTATTTATTATTATTATTATTATTATTTTTCTGTCTGTATGTTACCCATTTTCCATAGATTATTTAGCAATAATTGGATGATGGTGTCTTTTTTTTTTCATTTACCTTATAGGTAGATGCCAGCCTATCCTTATTAAATGGATCAAATTTTGGGTTTTGAATATGAACTCAGATTTTCATTATAATAGAAATAGAATATTTAAGGTACAGAAATTTAGAGTTTGATAAAGTTCCTAAAACCCAAGTAATTAATATACTTTTATTTCCTTTTCTAAATATAAATATTAAAAAACATCACGATTTTTTTTTTTTTTTAAAAAAAAACATAAGTATTGATTTAGAATGTATTATTTTTATATTTGATTTTAATGCATATTGATTTTGTTCAAGGCCTCGGGAAGGAAATGGAAAACGGATGCATTTAGACAGACATTTGAAGCTTTATGGTTTAACTAGGAGAAGAAGGGTCCCCAATATAATATGAAAAAGTATGGATTGCTTTGGTTTTAGGTCATTTCTTCTCCACTCTCCTTTTGGCTTTTTTAAATTCTTGATTCTTACATCTCTTAGTTAACCTAATCAAGTTTCAAACATTTGAAAGTCAACCCATGAAGGTCAACCATTAAAAATTTCCTCTTTGGTGACCGACTCGACCTTATTTTGAGCCTTTGCGTAAGGAAAAACGTTAATATATAAATAGTATTTGGTTTATAAGTTTAGTTTATGCTTATGAAATCTAGATTTTTATATTACAAATTAAGGTTATTTTGTTTTTATTAAGATACTTACCATGCAAATATAGATTGAAAATGCTAACACTATCAAAGTTAATTAATATCCAATTTTAGGTGGGAAGTATTTGAGTCATTGCAAGCTAATATTATTCAGGAATTTAATATAAGACAAGGTTAAATTAATAAAAATATCCTTAAACTTTCCAAGGTTTCAATAATATTCTTAAACTTAATAAAAGTTCAAAAAATATTATTACCGTTGCATGGAACAGTTAACTTTTTTGGAGCGTTTCAATAATATATTTTTGAGTTTTTAAAAGTTTGATTAATATCCTTAAATATATTTTTTGAAATCTTCTAAAACACCCCTAATTTTTTTTTTTTAATTCATATCTATTTTTCCTATTAATTCTATCTTTAAAAAATACTTATTAATTTTCAAAAGTAACATTAAAAAGTTTGGATATAATATGAGGTGTCAATAAACGGTTTTTGTCCATATGTTGATGATGAAATTTGTTTTTATAAAGGTAAAAAATGTTAATAGTACTTTTAAAATTTTATATCTATTTTATAAATATAGTACAACGGTAAGGATATTTTTGAAACTATGGGTATTTTTTTTTTTTAAACATCTGAAAGTTTAAAGATATTTTAAGTTTACAAATTTAGGTTCTAGATTTTTTAATAATAATATTTTTTATTTTTTATTTTAATTTTTTTTAAGTTCAAGGTATTTGAGATGATTTTCAAATTTAGGTTCTAGTATCTATTGTTTATAGCTAGGACTACTGGGGTATCTAATTTCATTCACTTCCTTAGCTTTCGTCTCTCAGTGTCGACTCAGCAGAGTGCTTTCGCTGTTGGTGTTCTTTTCGATCTCTATATTTCACCGCTCCACCAAAAATTTCCTATGCCCCTATCGTACTTCACCTTGGTAGTTTCCACCGCCCATTCAGGGTTGAGCATGATAATTAATGCATGAACGATTCTCAAACTGAGAGCCTAAATTTATTGACTCATGACAGTTTATGGGTTTCGTTGATAATGTTATAAATTTTCACGTGTGAACTAACGTTTGTCCGACGAAATTCAATGTAGGGTATAAATTGATACAACTTCTGAACTATAAATTGATTACCGTATTTTTTCTAAATGATATAAAATTATAGCCTTAGATGATTGATTTCTCGAGAAACGTGATCACAAAAGTCAAACGTCAAATTTTATTTTTAGGGTCGAAATTAAAATTCGAAAAGAGAAAATTCAGAAGAAACTAAACTTTACACATGTTAATAACTTACAAATTAATCATCATAAGAACATGATCATGTGCCTCGAAACTTCACCAAAATCCTTAAAATTAGCCTCTTCCAATTGAATTCACATTTCTCTATATAAATAACACCAAGAACAATCCGATCTCACAAAAAAAATTAAAAAACAACTCAAATTCCCATAAAACAAACCAAATCCCCACACAAATTCAATCAAATTCTGTTCATTTTCTTGGGAAAAGAAGAGAAAATGGATACAACTTTTCATTGGGATGTGAAGAACAAAGTGATATCAAGAACATCTTCAATTGGTTGCTCTTCTCGCAGCATTTACTATTGTGGAACACCTGAAGGTGTCCCTTTCAAATGGGAAACACAGCCAGGAACTCCCAAAGATCCACCCCCTCAAGACATGCTTCCGCCCCTCACCCCTCCCCCGGCGGTTCTCAGTCTCGGGTTACCGAAACCGTGCATCGAACAACCGAAAACCCGACCTCGACCCCTGATAAGGCTTCGGTTTTGGAGGAGAAGCAAGAAGAATGGTAAGAGAGATGCCCGAGCTAGAACTATTGACTATAGTAATGAAGATCGTTTTGGTAACCCTGATAAGTTGGAGACGTTTTCGTTTCTTAGCTCTGATTGTGAGTTCATGACATCGTCTCGGAATTCTATGTTGTCGTCGCCGTCGTTGTCTTTGTCTTCTTCTTCATCACCATCGTCATTCTTCGAGTCGTTAACTGTACGTCGACGTCTGAGTTGTAATGCTTGGCAAATTAACCGGATTCTAGCTTGTTACCATTGCTAGAAAACATTTAGAATATCAATCAATAAAGGAGAGGTGCCCGAGCAAGAACTATTGACTACTAGTAATGAAGATCGTTTTGGTCACCTTGATAAGTTGGAGACGTTTTCATTTCTTAGCTCTGATTGTGAGTTCATGACATCGTCTCGGAATTCTATGTCGTCATCGCCGTCGTTGTCTTTGTCTTCTTCTTCATCATCATCGTCGTTCTTCGAGTCGTTAACTGTACGTCGACGTCTGAGTTGTAATGCTTGGCAAATTAATCGAATTCTGGCGTGTTACCATTGCTAGGAAACATTTAGAATATCAATCAATAAACGAGAGGTGCCCGAACAAGAACTATTGACTATAGTAATGAAGATCGTTTTGGTCACCATGATAAGTTGGAAACGTTTTCGTTTCTTAGCTCTGATTGTGAGTTCATGGCGTCGTCTCGGGATTCTATGTCGTCGTCGTCGTCGTCGTTGTCTTTGTCTTCTTCTTCATCACCATCTTCGTTCCTTGAGTCGTTAACTGTACGACGAGGTCTGAGTTGTAATGCTTGGTAAATTAATCGGATTCTCGCGTGTTACCATTGCTAGGAAACATTTAGAATATCAATCAATAAACGAGAGGTGCCCGAACAAGAACTATTGACTATAGTAATGAAGATCGTTTTGGTCACCATGATAAGTTGCTCTGATTGTGAGTTCATGGCGTCGTCTCGGGATTCTATGTCGTCGTCGTCGTCGTCGTTGTCTTTGTCTTCTTCTTCATCACCATCTTCATTCCTTGAGTCGTTAACTGTACGACGACGTCTGAGTTGTAATGCTTGGTAAATTAATCGGATTCTCGCGTGTTATCATTGCTAGGAAACATTTAGAATATCAATCAATAAAGTTCTTACTTGTTGGCTTGATGTTGCCATAAAAATCTATACTTTTGTTGGACATTTTGGTCGAAGATATATATCTTAGCTAGTTGAGTTATACTCATGTTTCACTTACATATATAGTAAGAAAAATATCTTGAACTTGTCGACGTTGGTATGAATATTGAGAAAACTGAATATGTTAATGAAAATAATAGTAATAATTTATTTTTTTTTTGAAGTTAATATCAATTCTATCCATAATTGTAACAGCCCAGATCCACCGCCAGCATATATTGTCCTCTTTGGACTTTCCCTTTCGGGCTTCCACTCAAGGCTTGCTTTAAAACGCGTCTGATAGGGGAATGTTTCCACGCACTTATAAATGGTGTTTTGTTATTATCTCCGACCAATGTGAGATATCACAATGCCCAACCAATGTTGGATATCACAATCCACCACATTTAATGTGGGACCGCTACCAAATTCACCCTCTTCGAGGCCCAGCGTCCTTACTGGCACACTGCCTCGTGTCTATCCTATTTCGGGGAACAGCGAAAAGGCTGGCACATCGTCCGGTGTCTGGCTCTAATACCATTTATAACAGCCTAGATCCACCGCTAGCGGATATTGTCATCTTTGGGCTTTCCCTTTCGAGCTTCTTCTCAAGGTTTTAAAATGCATCGGAAGGTTTCACACTCTTATAAATGATGTTTTGTTCTCCTCAACATGAACGATAATAATTTTTTTTTGAACTTTTAAATTTTCACGAGTATTTTTTTAACAGAGGATTAACCATAAAAGTATTTTTTTAAATTTTTTAATAAAATTAAAGCTCTTTGACTAAAGAGTATTTTGAAACAAATTTAGTAGTTTTCTAAAATTAAATGTAGAGATATTATTATTATTATTTTTTTTTTTTTTTGAAAATTTAAAGGTTTTATAAAATACAAATTTTTTTTTATTGATTAATCTTTAAATATTTAGAAATTAAGTTAAATATTATATTATATATATTTTTTCCTAAAATAATATTATTAAATTTATTAAGATATCATTTTTTAAGAGTGGAGAAATTTGGCGCGAGAAGCTCTTCTTCTTCTGCAAACTGCAATGGTGGTTCCATTTCTGCAAACACGGGGAATCGTCTCGGATCTTTCTCTCCCTGCGCCGCTGGTATCTCCATTTCTTCTGAAGATTCAACTCTTTTTCTTCCAGGCCGTTCGATTTTGATTCGTAATATTCATGTCAGCCATGTATTCCTATTGCTTGTTTTCTCTGGACTCGCTCTAGATTATGGCAGGTTTTGAATTTTGCTATGCGGAATTCTGGTTCTTTTTCTTCTTCTTTGCGTTTAGTTGTTTGATCATCGATTGATTATTTCTCCTTTTCTCTTGTTTCCCTTCAAATCTTGCTGTTGTTCTTCAGCGTGTTTCTTCTTTTTACCATTGTGAATCACTTTATTTTCTTTCACTTTCGTCCTTCTATCTCATCTGTGTTTCACTTAGCTGATTTGGTTGTCTTCTTGAAGAGCAGTGATTACACTTCACTTCTCCAATTGGAGTTTCTTTTCTTGAAGAATACAGGTTTCTTCTAGCTGCTTTCAATCTTTTGTGAAGCTGTCATTGCTTCTGTTTTATTCAACTTGATTGATGTTAAATATCTGAAGAATTCCTTCGCATATTGCACTATTCCAGCGATGTGTTTCTAGATTCTGAATCCATTCTCAAGGACTGGCACGCTTTATTACCAATTTGATAGTAATAACCTGAATTGGAAATGGTAACTCAGAAAAAAGTTGGAGAGGAATTGGAAATATATTACTGCTTCATGGAAGAAATAGCATACCAAGAATCCGAAGAATAATATAAGGGCTAAGCATTCAAGTGGTTGAATTCTCTCCGTTCAAATTCGCTTGCCGAAAGCCTCCAACATACTCTATTTATCATTCTATTGACGAACTCCTTAACTAATGACTTGGCTTTTTGATGTTCCTAATATTACTCTACTAAGATTCCTAGCAATTTTCTTCTTTAGGCATCACGGGATTAAATTGAGCACTCTTCTTGTGATGGTATAAACTCAGGGTATCTAAACTTGTATTATGTTAAACTGCAAATGTTGCTAATCAACTGGAAATTCAATTGTAATTATATAAACCAGATCAAGCTAGCTAACTTGGTTTTCTATCTAATGGCAATGGGATGAATAGAAATAACTAGGTTTCGTTTTTAGTATCATCCTAATTTGTTTAATCTTGTCTTTCTTCCTCAGAGAAAGTAGATTTGTTGTTGTGTAAGGCTCTTTTCAAAGCAGTATCTTCTAAGCAATTTTTAGAAGTTATATTGTTGGATTTCCTGCTAGCAAGATGAAGTGACCCCGGTTGATTGCACATATAGCTTGTTATGGACCCCTATATTATGAAGCTTCTGGAAGATGACGAGGTTTTGTATCTTTTATTGCTTGTGTGTAAACGTTTATCCTAGGATTGAGGGGATAACATTTGTAAATCTTTATCATATTGGACATTTGGCTATGAACAGGATGAAACAATGCATTCAGGTGCAGCTGTGGCGGCTTTTCAGGCTGCCTCGAATAGAGAGATAGAAGGTGATGTTCCGACCGTTTCCCAGACTAATGCATCAGATACAGGTATACTTCAGCCTAAACTTAGAAGTTGAACTTTTGTACGTAGATCTTGGTCAGAATAAATAACAAGAGAGGCTAAGACTCGTAGAGACCATATCAAAATGTGCATTTGCGGAAATGTGCTGTCCATGAAAGAAATTTTCTATGATTTTAATTATTTGGAGGTTCAAATTTTGTTTTACCTGGATATCCAATTGTTTCTTGTTAAATACACGTATAATGCCTTTCCTGTGGTATATAAATTTAAGTGAATAAATTGCTATTTCTCAAGTTAAAATGATTCATGTCTTGGTTCTAATGAGTTGGATATCAAATCAGCGAGAAAATGGCCGCTTTAGTATTGTTTTGGTGGAAACTTTTGGGAAGATTTCACAGTTTACCATTGATTTTGAAATGTTGCAATTTTAGGTTCCCGCTTTTTTTCACGCATTTTCTTATAATGAGCTTTCTTCTGGCTTTTCAATTCCTCCAATCTTATACTGGCTGTCATATATTTGCTCAAACTGCACTTTTTTTCCCAGTAAATGATGTAATAAAAAAATGTGTTTGAACCCAAGCATAAAACTTTCCATTGAGTGGCTTTGGGTGTTCATATTGAAATTGATCTGATATCTGTGACTAAATATGTAGCCTTCTCTGGAGGGAACAATGGTTCTTCTGGCCTCTTGCTACAAGCTTCTAGTCAAAATAAAAATACCGAATCTCATGTCCAACTAGATAAAAATTTTCGTTTGAAGCAAGAACAACGTTCATCTCTGATGGAACCAGAGCGATGTACATCAGTACCTGAAAATCAGCAGCAACACAATGCTGCCCCCCTCCGAGCTTCAAAGAACCAACCCCATGCAGATCGTGAACAAGTGGAGGCAGAACAAGTTTCTGCTCACTTTTCTCAAACAGAAGAACTGCAAGTTGCTGAACAAGTTCCAATCCTCATGAATTACTCAAACAGAATGCAGTACCCGGACAATGAATCTCAATACTTGAAGTTACAAAAGATGAGTAATCAGGAGGCAATGGTCTCGGAACAGGCAAATAACTCATTAAATCGTAGCAAACAGGTACCTTTTGCCTCGTTGATGCCTGTATTGATGCCTCAGCTTGATAAAGACAGAGGCATGCAACTTCAGAGTTTATTCAACAAATTGAAAGTAAGTACACGAGTAGAGGACATTCTGTTATTGCTTATAATTGTCACATCACATGTAAAATTTAAGTTAGATGTTAAGAATCCGCCCTAAGCGAAGGACTAACTGGAGAAGTAGTAGGGTTCTTATTTACCACATTGATCTGTGTCATTTCATATTCCTTCGTAGTATGCAGGTTTTAAGTCAACTCTTTATAAATGCATCGTTCAATATGTGAATCTATTGGTACGTACCCTCAGAATATACTCTATACATGGGGTCTTGTTCGTGTGATGGTGCCTTTCTCTTTTCTATCTTTTTAAATTCTGACATATCTTAAAAAATGGTTGGATAATTCTTTGTTGTATTGGCTGTCTCATATAATTGTAACTTGTATTTTAGAGGAATGAAATGAACAAAGATGATTTTGTCCGGTGCATCAGGAGTGTTGTGGGCAATCAGATGCTTAGATTAGCAGTTAGTCAAGTACAATCTCAGGTCAGCACTAACTTGATTTATTGTCATGAGGGCTTTATTATGTATATATTGATTACTTTAAATCAGAGTCTGTCCGTGAGTTTTGTTACCTTCCTCAGGTTCCTGTCTTAAACCTTTTCATTTACAGCCTCCACCTTCAGTAAGGCAACCTTCTCCTAGAATGCCATCTATGGGTCCCGGTGCACCAAATTTCTCTGATTCACGACCATTTGCACAACTTCATCAGAAAGGCATGAATTCTCCTGCAGTTCAATCGTACATACCTTCTTCAGCATCCCAAGGGCAGAGTAGTTCATGGTACCCTGCCAAAGACAAGAACACAAAATCTTTACGAGAAGTCGAACAGCGATCTGATGGTGTAAATCAATGGACTTCATCTAGTTCAGGCACCATTCAGGAAAGGAAACGCTCCTCAGTTCCTGTTTCAGGACTCGAGAAGCAGAAGCTACACTTACAACAGAAATCGTTTTCCATGTATGGAAACAGTGGTAATTACCACCCGTATACTGGGTCTAGCATAAATGCCTCTTCATTGTCTTCTAAACCCCAAACTCATGAGGGTCACGTGAAGCAAATTCCCCAGCAGGCTCCTAGTCTTGGCAGGCAAGTTACCATAAATGATTTCAAGCGAGTGCAGGGTGGAAATGTTCCACACTTGCACAACAACTTAACTGCACAGCAAGTTTCTTGGAAA